AACACTTGATCAAGAAAATGCAATGAAAAGTGATCTTTTCTGGTGAGCAAATTTAGCTTACGGTAGTCAATACATACACGCCAACTTGTGACGGTACGCATTAGGACTAATTCATTTTTTTTTTTTGTATTATAGTAAAACCAAACTTTTTTGGAACTACCTGTGTAGGACTAACCCATTTACTATCAGATATAGGATAAATAATATTTGCATCTAATAGTTTAAGTACTTCATTGCGAACTACCTCTTTCAAGTGTGAATTTAATCTTCTTTGCATTTGACGAGATGTTTTAGCATTTTCTTCTAAATATATGCAATGAGTACATAGAAGTGGGCTTATACCTTTTATATCAGCTATTGTCCATCCAAGAACACCTTGATGATTATTCAATATTCTTGTTAATTCCTTGACTTTCAGATAAATTCGATGATATGATTACAGGATGTACTTCATCTTTTTCTAGAAAAATAAATTTCAAATTGGTTGGAAGTGGTTTTAAATCTAGTTTAAAGATTTTGAGATTGGATTCTACAGCTTTAGATAACAAACTTTCACATTCTGGTTTTTCGATATTTTCAGATTCATTATCAAATACAAATTCTAATGTATACAATTCTTTTTCCAGAAAAACTTCCTCAAAAAAACTTTGCATTAATGACTCAACACAATTTATTTCATGCACTTCATCTTCTTCTCTAGGCTGTTTTGCACTATTAAAAATATTTAATTCCAAGATCATGTTTTCAAATGAAAGTTTCATGATTTTATTTCTACAATTAATTAACGCATTTGATGTAGTTAGAAATGGTCGACCTAGAATAATAAGTATGTATGCAGATGCATGAAAAATTGGTTGTATATCTATTACGATAAAATCTGCTGAAAAATAGAATTGATTAACTTGGATGATAACATCTTTCAAAATCCCTCATGGAGTTTTTATTGATCTGTCTGCTAATTGTAGTGTAACACTAGTGGATTTTAGTTCACTTAATCCTAATTGTGTACACACTGAATATGACATTAAATTACAGCTGGCTCCAAGATCTAGCAAAAAGCTTCTTCAATTCAAAAATTTTCAATGATGCATGAGACTGTTGGACTTCCTGGATCTTTGTACTTAAGAAAAGTATTATGTTGTATTATAGTACTGACTTGTTTAGTTAGGAATGTTTTCTTTGGTACATTTATTTATTTTTTTTTGTGCAAAGATTTTTTAAAAACTTAGCATAAGCTGGAACACGTTTAATGACATCTAATAAAGGAATGTTAATCTTGACTTATTTAAATAGCACAAAATTCTTAGATTGATCTTTTTCAGATGGAGATTTCTTGACTCTTTGAGGAAACGGTAAAGGAATAGGACATCATTGATTTTTTTCATTTTGTACTTCTGGTTGTTTTTCAATTGCAGGTTCAAGTTCGAGTCCTACTGACAAGAATTGACTTTCGCATTTTCTTGGGGATCTTAGGTTTAATGGTTTTATCAATTACCTTACCACTTCTTAATGTTGTGATTCTAGTACTTCACTTGGAGAAGGTTCAAAGGATACAACTTTAGCTTGACTTTGACTTTGCGGAGGTTTAGGCTAAGATGAGAATTTTTCCTTTTCTGGTATACTGAGAGACTGAGTCAACTTAGCTAAATGACTCTTGATATCTTAAATACTATGAGAAGTTTGGGTTTTAAAATCATTAAAAGCTTGAGTTGTTTGAGTGTTAAAACTCATTTGACTTTGAATAAATTGATTCATAGTATCTTCCAGAGTTCTTCTTTGTGGGGGTTGATATGACGGATATTGTTGTTGATTTTGTGACTGTGGTGAACCTTGTGTTTGATTTATAGGTTGTGTATTCCTCCAACTAAAATTTGGATGATTTCTCCATCCTAAGTTATAAGTTTCAGAATATAAATTCAAATAAGGCTTATTATAAGATGGAACAACATTAGATTGTTCAATTAACACTTCCTCGAATGTAGGTATAGTTAGACATTCTGTTGCAGGATGTCTTGACAACGCACAAATTTCACATATTTGAATAGTAGTTGACACAACAGACACTTATTTTATTTTTTTTCATCTCTAAGGCTTCTAGTTTTCGAGATAAATTGGTCATTTTAGCTCTTAAATTATCATCTTCTTTTAACACATATTTTCCTCTTTCGGATGTAGATGACTTAGTTTCCACTATATTTGAAGAAGTCGAGTCCCACATTTAGGAACTTTCAGAAATAGTATCAAAAAATTGAAATACTTCTTCAGGATTTTTACTCATGAATTCCCCCTGCACCATCATTTCAACGAATTGACACGTTGCAGAAGGAAGAGCATCATAAAAAAAAACCAACTAACATCTAGTTTTTGAATGCATGATGTGGACAAGCTTGGAGAAGATATTTAAGTCGTTCCCAACATTAATAAAAAGCTTCAACTTCTTTTACAGAAAAATTCATTATTTGACGTCTTAATGTATTTGTACGATGTACAAGAAAAAACTTTTTAAAGAACTCAGCTTGTAAAGCTTGTCAGTTTGTAATTGAATTAGTTATTAAAGAAGCTATTGTTTTGCTTTATCTTTCAAAGAAAAAGGAAAAAAAATTTAATCTAACCATTTCAGAATTATCCTGCAATGTTCCACAAACTTCTTCAAATTCTTTCATATGCACATAAGGTTTTTCAGTTTCCAAACCATAGAACTGTGGTAACAACTGTATTGTTTCTGGCTTAATTTTAAGATTTGGAGCATATGTTGAAAAAGCAAAACATGACAGCATATTAGTTCGTGTAGGATGTAAATATTCTCTTAACGGTCGAATATTTTGAACCACTTCCTGTTCTCTAGTTTGTTCTTTCCTTGGTACGTTTCTAGTCATACTTAATTCAAATGATTCTTGTGTAGATAAAGATGATGAAGACGAAGACGAAGACGAAAGAGATGACTGATTTACAGACCTTTCAAATGAATGTACATACATAAACTATTAAAGAAAACACACTTTTTATACATATAATACAAATAACCAACTTTTGTGTTTTATTTAATTTCAAATTACCATAACTCTCTGGCAACGGAGCCAAAAACTTGATTTACACTTTTTTGTGATATGATATTTATGTTATACACTCAAGTATAAGTGGTCGAATTGTAGTTTTCTCGGTTTTAAGTCCAAGTATCGATCTCACGAAGAGTTTGAATAATTAGAAAATAAAATAAAAATATTTAAGTTGTTAATTTGAATAGGACAGCATGTGATAACTTGTGATATGCGCTTAGATTAATAACTAGTATAATTAAATGGTTGGTTGCAAATAAAGTTGATAGAAGACAAAAGAAGATAAAAAGTATCCTTTAGTTTAAGGATCTCATATGCGTTATATTGGGTGAATATTGGAAATGCTACCTTATAGCAATTAACTTCCATATTACTGGCAAGTCAACCGGTAGGTTTAATGTATATAAATCATCACACAACAACTTTTTAGGTTAGCTGGTGGTATTCATGGCAGTTGATTAATCCAAGTAAACCAGATGGACAAGTCATTCATGAGGAATACTTGAATTATTCAATTGTCTCATAATAGTAAGTACGTACATAATAAACCATAACACAACAACTTCTTAGGTTATAACTGGTGGTATTAGTTATAACACAACAACTTCTTAGGTTAGCTAGTTATAGATGTGTCATTTGATTAATTCGAGTGAACCAGAAGGACAAGTCATTCATGAGAAATACTTGAATTATTCAATAGATCATCTGTGATATATATATATCAGTTAAACATCCTCAGCGTTCCGGTGGAGGACTAACCATACCGATAGAAATATCGTAGATACTCGACTAACAATATTATCACGTATACCAGTTAAGCGATCTTAGTAACCCAGAAGGACAAGCCGTTTATGAGGATCACTTAGGTCATTAATCTGATAGTCATATATAGTAGTTAAACAACCTTGATAATCCAAAAGGGCAAGTCATTCATGAGAATCATTTAGATTTTGTATCATGCATCAGTAGAACATCCTCAGCGTTCCCGTAGAAGACAAGTCATACCGATAGAAACACCGTAGATATTTATCCGACAGGTTCATGATGCACTGATGACATAATTCCAGACACAATACCGAAATTACGTACATCATTGTATCATGCATGAAGCGTATAATACATATATAGATAAATATATGAATAAAACATCAGTATTTTCAGCAGTTAACCAATATTGTATATATGTCCACCTCTCACTAGAGGATATAAGTAACTACTCACGCCCCATTGCTATACACAAGCAAGGAGTGCGGGTAATTTTCATTACAACTCAAATTAAAATACAGACTCTAAAACTTCTTTCACAAGGAACAATTGAAACACAACCACCTTTATTATCAATTAAGACAAAAGGGTGGCAGCAGTTCAACTATCCGAATAGAAAGATACAACATAAATGTAAAAATATAGAGTTTCGACTGAAGTGTACGACGGACTGGATTTGTATCTTCCTTCTTCTTTCTCTCTTTCTTTTTCTCTTTCTCTTTTCTTCTTTTTTCTCTTTTGAACTCTCTTTGGATTCCCTTAAGTCCAGCCGTCTTCAGAATGAATGCCATGCATGGCTTTATATAAAGGAGGAGGAAGCAGGAGGTGTCAGGATCAACTTCAGCTGCCAAGGGCCACCGTCCAAATGCCACCACCACAGTCTAGATGGTGGTGCTTTGCTGGATCATCAACTTGTTGGTTGCTGACTCTTGTTTTGTTGAAATTACACTTTAGCCTTTTATTGTTTCAAGCTTTTATACATTGCTCTTTAGATTTTCCTGTAATTCAACATTAATACCTAAAAATTTTAAATATAACACACATAAAACCCTAATTCTCGCACAAACCCTAATTGACTTTAATTAATAGTTTTTGGTTATTTTATCTTATTAATTTGACTTATTTAACTCTTCTGATTTATATAATAATTAGGGTTAATTAGATATCTTTATGGGGGAGGACAACTCCTGCAAAGTCGGTATCCATTGACACAATGGATTCAAAATCGGGGCGGGTATTCTTCGAGACCTGCTCTTTTGCCCTCTCCTCGTCAACCTTCTTGGCTTGGGCCACCCTCTATAGATCTACTCACAAGGAGTTACAAGTCAGCCTTTCATTGGGGCATGTATGGATCACATCAATGATGTTGGTTGCCTTCTTGATGGGCATGTCAGAATGTTTCTCCTCCTCCCATGTCTTCTTATTGTCTGTGAACTTGCTCAAGTGACTTATTTTAACAGTTTCTCAATAGAAGCCTTTAAAGGACAACTCCAAGGGACTTTGGGATGATCCTCCTTTCTTTCCGTTTTGGTCCTTTTCTTTCTTTTTCTTGGAAGTAGACCCCTTGCTATGGGCCCCGACCGTGTCATCCTAAACCTTAGCATACTTGTCAATGCGAGCCATAAGGTCTCCCATGTTGTTTGGGGACCGATATAGATCTATGTCTTGGGATAACCCGAGTTTGAAAGAGGCAACTACTATGACCTCTACACAACACTCTACTTCATTCACCTTTTCTCAAGACCTGGCGGCATAGTGCCCGAGAGTCTCCCCTTCCTTCAGTCGCAAGATTAGGAGGGTGCTAATGTCCTTCGGGTGTTTGCTGCGCTGGTAATTAAATCGAGTTGTGAACTATTCAGCCATCTATCTCCATGACCGAATGGACTTGGGAAGAAGATTCTCGTACAATATCCCAGGGCTCATCAAAAAAACCTCGCACAAGAGTTTCTTGTTGATATTTTAGAGAGATAGGAGTTGCTTGAACTATCTTAAATGTCCCTGTGTTAGCCTTACTGTAATAGACCTTAAACCAGGGAATGACAAACTTCTTGGGCATCTGCACCTCCTAGATGCTCCAAATGAAAGAGGACTTGACTGGCTCATCCTTCGTAACCACGTCTCCGTGCCCTTAGGCTTCACGGGAGAACTTCTGGCAGCATAAGTCAAAGTGGGATTGGAGGTCCTCTCTAGTCTATGATCCTGGGCGCCATCTTCCTGTGTCCTCGGCTTGCGCACCTCATATAGGCCCCTCTATCTTTGAGAGAGACTCTGGACCCTACCCTGAAGTCCTCATTTTTAGTGTGTCAAGAAAGCTAGTGGCAGAGGTCACTCTTGGTGAGGGACCTAGCTCGCTTCTCTAGAGGTATCACCCAATCAGTGCACGTGAGCAAGGGTCACGCCTCTTTGTCAGTATTAATGGGATTTCGTGCTAGTCCCAACTTGAAGGAGGCAACATAGCTGATAGTCCCTGTCCACTGTGACACCAATCGATTCGGCTAATATCAGTGAGCTTCAACATTAGCAGGGGAAAGGTGACATCATCGTGCCCAAGAGCCTTGCCTCCCATGGGCGTCTCTAAGCCTTAGACGAGTAAGTTATTCCATCGGACTCTACCTACTCGGGGAATGACGTGTATGGGGGTGGACCGTCTCTTGTCCAGGTGTCATCTCATGATTGTTCCGTTGAATGTCCCGTCAAAAACCTAAATGGCATGGCCACCACCACACCCCCAACATATTACTAGTCACATACAAACCAATATATAGTGGCAAGACTCACTAACATCCAAACAGTTCTTCATCGAAATCGTATTTGAAAAGGCTAGAGAAAGTGAAAACGTAGTGATGTACTGCTGCAAAAGAAATTGAAAACACCAGCATCTAGCAGCGAGGTTTGTGCGGCGAAGAAGTAGCCAAGGAGAGTTCAGGAGCAGACACAGAGAGAAGAGGGAAAGAGGCAGAGTAAATTAGGGCACTTCCCACCTATTAAAATATTATCGTTCCACTTCTCACTTTAAGAAGGTAGATTACAATGATAGTTTAATTGGATGGAAAACAAAACTGTGCATTTTAATTCGCGTAAGAATTATGTAACTATTTTTAAATGTCAAATGGAAAATTGTACCCACGTTCCTTATAATTTATTATATTTTTAACGATGCATTTTATATTATTCAAAATATTACAGGCACTCTTTTTTGTTTATATTTAAATATCATTAATACTCTTTGCCATTAAACTACCGCTTCTAATAAAAAAAAATTATTTGAAATACTAAAATTATCCATGCATAAATCTCAAATAATCTTTCTACATAAAATTTGATAAAAATTCAAGCCGATTAAATTTTTTTTTTACATATTAAAATTTGAGTTAATTAAAATTTAATTTAAACTGATTAAATTTTATTTTTTTTACTTATTAAAATTCAAGTTTATTAAAATTCTTTTCTCACGTATTAAAATTCAAGCTAATTTGAGATCTACTTGAGTTGTTATTGTCGATTAAAATTCAATTTGAATCAGTTAAAATTTATACTTTTTAATTATTAAAATTTGTACCAATTAAAATTTAATTCAAATTGATTAAAATTTATTTTTTACATATTAAAATTTGAGTTAATTAAAATTTAAAATTTTTTACGTATCAAAATACAGACCAATTAAAATTCAATGCAAGTTAATTAAAATTTAATTAGAACCAATTAAAAATAAATTTTAATCAACTCCAATAAAATTTTAATTGACTCAAATTTTAATATATAAAAAATATAATTTTTAATCAACCAGAATTTTAGTATATAAAAAATAAATTTTTATTAATTAGAATCGAATCAAATTTTAATACAAAAAAAAATTTTGAAAAAAAAAATCTCATTAAATATATACCTATTTAGAGGGTGTGAATACAATTTTTCTTAAAATATATCATTATAAATGTAATAAAATTACATTCTAGTTAACACCTCTAATTTGCCAGGTGATGATTCAGAAAATAAAAGAAATATCCGTGCAGATGTAATAAACTAGAAATAGTGTAACTAAATTTTTTCCTTTTTCTGACTACTCGCTAGTGTAGAGAAGGTTCTGTTGCAATGATGAACTTTGAAGGGTTTTTTTCAAGATATCGTGGACCAGAGAAGCAAGTGTTGCAGAGTTTCCATCGTACATGTATCTATTGGCCCAAAAGTTAGCACAACTATTAAACAAAAAGAACAGACAAACCAAAAGGTTTACTTATAACATAAAAGAAAGGTATGGCCCAAACTTGTACGATACTTCCCAGTTTAGATGACAATCTAAGCATAGTAATTTAAGCTAGCTTTCTTCTTAGCCTGGACTTGGATGATACCTTCGTTAAAGTCTTCATGATTCACCTGGAAATAAACAAGCCAATGGTTCTGTCAGTGCTTGCTCCAAAGAATACAGTATAACATGCATGCACATGTATGTATACATTGTTTTCAAAGTGTCATTTTCTTTTTCTTAAATGAGGCTATAGTTTTCAAATTTTAGCCTCTGAATCAAGTTCATCCATGCGTAGAAATGTTTTTGGAACCACACTCACCATAGGGAAGGTACTTGAATATTATCAAAATTCGTAAATGTCAAAGTTTCACTCATTTTCGTCCCCATATGAACTGATGATGGACATCACATCAATATCTCAAGTTATATGATGTTAACAAGAAGTACTTTGTAGAGCATATGCCAGTGTATAGTATCTGGATATCGGAAGAGTAATAGGATTTCAGTATTTGTCAACCATTGAAATGCAAACAAGTACAAACAATAAACATGACAACAAATCAATTTCTACAGAACACTACAAATTAAAGGGGTAAATATTGCTTACAAATAAAAGAGGGAATGACAAGTCATATCCATTGCATGCCCTCATTCATTAATTCTTTGCTTTTTTTAATTTTCCGGCTGATATCTTGCTTAGATTTGAGTCTAACTTTTTAACATACTCATGTTCCATTGCAAATCTACATTAATTCATTGCTTTTTGCTTTTTATTTTTTATTTTTCTGCCGCTATCTCACTTAGATTTGAGTCTAACTTTTTAATTTAATCCTATGTTCAAACTTTGAACTAAGACTAAAAAGAAACTAATCCAATGTTCCCAAAATGTGTTACATAGGCATTCACATGCATCCATACAAAAAGAGACAACATTGGCACTGACACAACTCTCATGCCTAAAGCATGCATGCATGCATACGTGCATGCACATGCACGCTAGCGTGCGCGCGCGCACATACTGTAAAAGCCGATAAAATTTGAGCTTTTATTGTGAAAGGCAAAATGGTAATTAGACATTGGATTGAAAACTCAAATTTTTCTAAAACTCGGATGATGAAACGGACCTCACCGTTAGATTCGTCAAAAAAAATCTAGTTACCCAGTCCATTTTCGTCAAAATCCGAGACAGTCGGATTTTTTGCGTTTTACGGTGCTATCGGATAGTGCGCAATTAAAATAAACGTGATTGAGATTTGATTGCGAAACATGAAAAATAATTTTAAATTAGTTCAAATAAAATATATTGAGCACAAAACGGAACGAGATTTAATTGATTCTGAATAAAATCGGATTAGAAAAATGCGGGATATGTGGGCACGTTGTGAGCCATGTATTGGAAAGTATAAAAGGGAAAGAAAATCATATTTTTTTCCATTTTCAGCAGATTTTTAGAATAGAGAGTGAAAGAAGAGAGAAACTCTCCCCCATCTCCACCTTCTTTTTGCGATCTAGGGTGATTCGTTCGTCGGATTGCCTTGGACCAAGAATAAAAGTTGTTCTATGCGACGAGAGTTAAATCTATATACCAAAAATCGTGGATTTAGCATAAATCTCAAGATTGGGATTTTTTGGAATCAAGGTTTAAAGGTTGATTTGGGTATTTTAAAGTTTCTACTACGTGTATTACACTTCAAGAGATAGTGTTCCTTTCGTAATGAAATTTATTTTCAACCTATGGTTACAATATGAAATAGGTAAGGTGTTAGAGATGTAATCTCATGTATGACACATACCTATTGTAATTGAAATATGGAAATGGGTATAAAAATGGTTAAGATCAATTCTTGCACGAATTGAATTATGGTGAAATTGCTCATTGGAATTTCAAGATTAATGTGTTGATTGGACATGATATGTGTTTACATTTATGCCTTGAAGGTGTTTGATAAAATACCTATGTTGATTAAATATGTTATTTGCATTGAATATGTTATAACATACTTGGGATTGATGTTAGAAAATGTTGGTATATGCCTTATGATATATTGACATTAAAGACTTGAGACTTTTTGTAGAATTGGGACATGTTCATAATATGATCATGATATGTTGAACATGACATTGGAATTTGTAATTATACATTTACATTACATATGCACGGGAAGTATCATATTCGTAAGCATGTGACATGAGTGTGGATGTGTGCATAGTTTTAATCAACCACCATTCTTGGTGGATGATGTGTGGACATAGGGAAGTTAGATAAATGTTCGACTGAGTCACACGGGTTACATTGAAAATAACGGTCGACATTAACAAGAAAGGCTAGATTACCCCTTGGATGCAAGACCTAGTGAATTGGATACCCAATTCATTGGTATTGAGTCCATAAAGTATCGACGTACGCGGAACCGTTGGTAGAAATCTATAGATGTCATGTCGGTTGGGTGCCCATTGGTGAAAGTCCATAAATATCCACTCCAAGAAAAACCCGAGATTTATAAATGGTCAATGGATGTGTAACATCAATGGAGGGAGCGTGAAATGTCTTGATGCATTGTATGTGGTATGGGAGCCGGTGGCAGGCTCGGGTTGTATTACACGTGAGTTACATCTTATGACATGGCATGGCATTCTAGAATCCATTATGATTTGTATATTCTTGAACGAATAATTGATTGATTGTCGAATTGCATGTAAACATTTTACATGTATCTGGGTTGGAGAATAGTCTCTCTAAGAGATACCTTATTGAGCGTGACTCACCATTTATGGGGATATATATTTCAGGTGTTAGACAAGCTCCGGCAGGTGACCCTCCCTTAGGCACGTGTTGACAACCAGGCTAGGTTATGGCTTGCGAATCTCATTTTGTACTTTGTTTTGCCCTCGTATAAATCATGTATAAATCCTTATATTTTAGCAAGTGCATGCAATGGGACATTGCTCTTTTGTAAAATGAATGAATGAAATGAGTGTGGTATGTATTGGATGGCCAAAAGTTTAATTTGAAAAAGTTGAGAAAAATCCAAGCTTCAGGTACTGGTACCTCACAAGAACTTGGCATCCAGAGAGCCCAAGTACTGGTACCCCGCTGACAGTGGGCTCAAGTACCAATACTTAGGTTCACAGATACCGATACCACGCCATTGAGGACCCCAGATACTAGTACCACATTTACAAGTACCAGTACCTGACAAACAGAAGGCTCAGGTACCGGTACCAAGTACACAAGGGGTTAGTACCTCTTCACAAAAACTAATATTTTAATATGACATTGTCAAGCCTTCACCTCTTGAGCCCTTTCGTTTAAAGAATGTAATTGATTAAAGGTTAAGGACAAATGGATGGAGATTGGACATTGCTATGGTCGTGTGATGACGTGATGTCTAGTTATGTGGCATGTACAGGTACTTCCGCAGATTGATGAATGATCAACAGGTTAATAAAGGACCCCCGATTTTAGGGGCTATACACACACACACACACAGACCTCAGTGGCATCACGGCGAAGAGCTAGCATGCCTGCCTCCACACAAACAGCTTTCAGTTGTGCACCGTTAAAATCATCTGTCGAACGAGCCAGCTCTTCAAAATTTACATCGGGGTGAACATTCATCTTTCGGGAGTGGATCTGCAATTCCATCAAGTAATCAAAAAAATTAACATATACTTGGAAAAGTATGTAATGCATGAACTTCGAGCAGGCTTTTTGAAAGGCCAACCTGCAAGATTCGAGCTCTGGCCTCTTCGGTGGGATGGGGAAATTCAATTTTACGATCCAGTCGACCAGAGCGCATGAGGGCAGGGTCCAATATATCAGCTCGATTTGTTGCTGCTATCACCTGCAATATTAACCAAATACATTAACCTGGTCAACTGAAGATCACAAAGGGAAAACGTTTGTGCAGGCTTTCATCATTGGATGCTAAAAGCAAGTTCAACCATCCAACCAAGGCTAAAAGTTATAAAAATTTAGCAACTCGCCAAACGTCAGAAGCCAATAACAGTCGGTTAAAATGATTTTATTACATTTAACTGTTCACAATCACCTCAAATAATTAAAATACTGAAATAAAAAATTCCATTCAAAGCGAAGAGAAAAGGACCTTTATCCGGTCATCGCTACTAAATCCATCAAGCTGATTGAGTAATTCTAACATTGTCCGCTGGACCTCCCTATCCCCACTAACTTCACTGCAATAAAAAAAGAAAGACTATATATTAGTAACTGCTGTTGTGATATAAGCTCAATTGAGAGCGAACCAACCAGATAATCAAAACTACGGGCCAGATAAAAGTGGAAAAGGGGAACTATATCGAATTCAGAGGGGCGACATTGAAAAATCAATATTTATAGGGTGCCAACTCCACAAAATCTTTTGACAAAATAAAGCAATGCTGAAAGGGTAAGGGTGCACTTTTTGGAAGTTAGAACAGGACATGGCTCCTCTGGTCCTAAGGTGGCTCAGTATTTATTTCTGCCAATTGACAGAACCCCAAGAAGTATTCCATACGAAAACTGAAGTATCATAATTGAGAAAGTTAAACAGGAAGAATGCAATCAGGTAAATGTACATGAGACTGAAATACTGCATACCTATCAAACCGCTTCGTGCCAATAGCATCAATTTCATCTATAAAAATTATGCAAGGAGATTTTTCTTTTGCAAGCTGAAAAGCATCACGAACAAGTTTTGCACCGTCCCCTATGAACATCTGTATTCATAATAAGTTTGATTACCATATTAATTACACACCATACAATCACTAATTCACTAAGACAAAACAAATCAACAAAATCTTAATCCTTTGGTTGATATGATGGAAAAATGAAACGATGAAAAGTTTAAAAAGATTGATAAAACATCATATTCGGTAAGGAAGGATGAAAAAGTTGGTGAATTAACTTTCCTTCTAACTCACAAAAATTTATCCCCCAAAATTGGAAGGAAACGTGGATGGAAAGTTGGTTATGCGTGTTGAAATGTATGTTATTTACTTTGATATCATTTAATACATGCATATATCCTATTTATCTATTACACGTTATGTACACATTAATTTTATATATAAATACAATGATAAAATATGCATTTATACTTTTTTCATCCTTTTATTTTTTCATCAAAATAAACACAAAAAAATTAATATTTCTTATTTTTCATCCCTCCTACTAAACACAAAAAGGAACGAAGGAAGGAAGGATTCTCCCTTTGAATGATAGAAGTACATCACTCTCACTTTCTATTCTTCCATTTTTCCATCCACCCTATCAAACACACCATAAGTATATTCCTTACCAAGGGTTATTTTGTTACACTATTTAACAAATAAATCTCATGGCGTTAGATACACAGCAAAGGTAAAAACTAGTTAAAAGTATACATGATTCACTTGTTGATTGCTAAGGAAATGCCTATCAAAAGGACAGCTATTCTGTAACTAATCAAATATGCCGAAGGCAAAAATTTATTCACATATAGACTATGGTAATAACTTCCAAAAATTATTTGGGTATCTTGCCAAAAACTATTGTACCTTAACTAAGGGTGCATTTGGTAATGTTTTTGTTTTTATGTTTTTTTTTATAAAAAAAATAAAACAATTTTTTGTTTTTTCTGTTATAAAAATTAAAAATATAAAACATATTTGGTAGTCATTTATATTTAAAAAATTATAAAAACAAATTAAAAACATGTTTGATATTATATATTTTGGATAATATTTTATTATTGTTATTTTGGTTAATATTTTAATTCCTAATAGATGTCTCAATTGGAGACATTCTTGCAGGGACACACACACACATATATAGACGCAATTACACACCCACACTTCCACAAATTACACACAAACACAAATTACACACAAATCCATATATACAGCACACATACACACAAACACAAATAAACACACACATGTAGATCTATGAATATATAACAACATACACGTGGATCTATGCATATATATACATATATATATAGATATATGCCTATATATGTATATATAGATCTATGTGTATTTATGGTATAAAATTAAGGAAAAAAGGGAAACAAGCAAGAGAGACAATGTAAGTTTCGCCTTCATGTTTGATTTTGTCTTCATCTTCGTCCTCTCCTCTTCGTCTTTGTGATAGTGGGTTGCAGAAGAGGCACATCTTTGTCTTCATGAAAAGGGGTTGTAGAAGAGGCATCGAGAGAGAGACAGATGAGGGAAAGAGACAAAAAAAAAAGAGGAAAATGGGGTTTTATAGTTGCCACAAAAAAAAAATCTCATTTTGTTGCTAATGAGATTCAAAGGCAGGACCTCATTAATTGATAATGAAATGCGCGGGCGTGTTTTTAGTTTTGAATGTTTTCAAAAACATCATTTTTTTTTATTTATAGTTTTGGACCTTGTTTTCAAAATAATTTTAAAAAAAAAACAAAAACACATCCCAAAAACATTATTGTTTTATTTTTTTTTCAAAAAAAAAAAAAAAAAACAAATAGTCGGTTACCAAACGCTACCTAAGATAATGCATCAAGGTTTTCCCCGAAACTAAATCAGCCATAAAACACATCGAGCATTGAGCAACAATATTCCACTGTCCTAATCAATCAGAACCAATGAACATGATCAAGTCTTTCATAAGAACATAAAAAACGACAAAGATTCAATTTTCCTAGTACAACAAAACTCAAGGACGATGTTGGCCCTGCTAAAGAAATTATCATTCAGTAACCATAAGAAACCATGAGCCTAAAGAGAACAACAAGCTCTTGCAAAGGGCTCGCCATTTAAGAATCACCAGATTCAAAGTTAAAAAACACCAAATAGCATGTTGCAAATTCTGATAAGAAATATACCTGGACAAGTTGGGGGCCTGCTAACTTCAGAAAAGTAGCATTTGTTTGGGCAGCACACGCACGGGCCATTAAAGTTTTCCCTGTCCCAGGTGGTCCATACAAAAGCACTCCTTTGGGTGGACGAACTCCTAATTTCTGAAACCGCTCTTTGTGTGTCATGGGCAAAACAATTGCCTCTACTAGTTCTTGGATCTGTGCAATGGAAGTGAAGTCCAAATATAACTCAGATATCATGCAAGTAATTGTCTTATTCCAAGTGTAATCACCTAACCTGTTTCTCCAGCCCTCCAATGTCATTATAGTCTTCAGTTGGTTTTTCATCAACCTCCATTGCCTTAACTCGAGAATCATACTCAGAAGGCAATGTGTCCAATATCAAGTAACTATCTTTGTTCACTCCAACTAAATCACCAGGCTTTAGTTTATCAGGATCAACAAGACCGACCACAGGGAGAAAGATAGTCTGCAGTCAATACAGAATAGGTCATAGTTCAAGACCACATTAATGAAAACAAAACTATGTTTACCGAGACAGCAGTAGAAGCATGGGTGCAAGGTTAACCTCATGAACAGAATATAAAAATTAGATGATACTTTAAAGTCACCAGGACTAGTTTGATTCTAGACAACCACAATCAAGTTAACAAAACTCAAATTTAACCATTTTAGATACAACATTTCTCAAACTGATTCATAATTATTAGTTGAAAAATCAACTTCTAAAAATTCCGATGCATTGACCTAAACCAAGGGTAGTTCCTGACTATAAAAACCACAAGAAATGGAAATAATAAAAGAAAAAGGAAAGGTATACGTAACATAAATTAGAGAAAAAAAGAGAAACTCACACCAGAAATCCTAACTCACTGTGCAAAAGAAATGCACAGATGTAAAGAGAACAAGCTAGCTTACCTGGCGTGTAGATGTTTTCAGTACAACACATTTACCCTTCCTTTGAGAGTCAAGATCAATATTGGCGCCATCTTCTTCAGCCTCATCCTCAGGGTTCATTTCCAAAATCTGGAAAAACAGAAATTGAAGTGAGTTCCCAAATTAGCTAAAACAACAATAACTACGCCAATCCCTGCTCAGAACCTAAATCATTGAAGACATGAGTTATTCATTGTTTCTAGTGATTGCAGAATATGCATCTCGACCCCATCACAAACCGGGTCTTGGATAACCATATCAACCCAAACTATACTTCAAACATAAATCCATGGTATAGAGTCCAAAGAGAAGCAACTACGTTGAGCACTCAACACTTATCTATAACAATCCAGCGGTAGCAAATGATAAAGACTAAATGTCTATATATGCAGTGCACACTAAAAAAATAAGGTCCAAGGCAATCATGTCCAGCAAACTACACTTTCAAAGCTCAAAACAAACTTGATAAATCAGATTCAAAGTTCTGACATTAGAAAGAGTTCCAAAAACAACACAAATATGTGATGAAATCCAAATAAATAGGTCCAATTATGCACTATGAACAGGCCTTGCGCATGAGACACAATTTATATTCACCATTCTTTAGGAAAAGTAAGTCCACTTTCTTTTGGCCAAGATAATGCCAGAACTCACCTTTTTGCATAAGTTCACCTTTTGAAGCCAAAATGATGCCAAAACCCAGTTTGACCCCAGTTGACTGAGATCGAGAATGGTAATGGGAAAAGGTTGACGGGGTACAATCCTAATAATTGGCGCCATATATGCATATTGCTTCATCTCAGATTAGAACCCACAAGGTCCTAGTAGTTAGCTGGGGCTGTTCTTTTAATCCTTTTTCGCTGTGTACAATCATTTAAGTAACAATAGCGAGGGAAAATCAACCCCTTCCACATCCCTACCTTCCGAAATAAAAACAATACTTATGCAAATAACCCATATAACCTACTCCAAAAAAAATCCGTTCAAGTTAAAAAACAAATCTAGTGTAAAAAGAAAGAAGAAAAAAGACACCATGCTTTCACTTTGATACACATTAGATATTTTGCCTGGGGGAGGGGGGAGAGTCAGATTGGTAGTAGAAATTATGACCCTTGCAGTAGGGACTTTTGCGAGGTAAATGACAAAGGCTAAATCACTTGAGGCTTTAGTGTAAATATATTAAAGGACTACAATTCAGCCAAAAATCAACTCATTTGGAATTTTCGCTTATAAAGTTATCCAAAAACTTATATTATCCCCCAAAGCTACAACTAAGATAATCATATCAAGTAAACCATACTTCAGTGCTTAGATCCACTTCTTACAAGAATTAGGGATTCCACACTTTTCGTATACAAACTCGCATACAAGCAACAATGTAAATGTGATAAACTAACCCAAAAAAATCTGCAAAGTATCAAAACCCTAGTCCACTTCCCTCTTTTCTTTCCCTTTCCCTAACCTACAATTTTACAGCAACCAAGCAAAACACAAAGCATAAAAACCTACACACCGTAACAAATGCAAGTAATTGGCTGAGTTCACAAAAGATTACCAATATTTGCAAGAAGAAAACATGAGGCGCAAAAACCTACATTCTCTTGCCCATTTTCTTTTCAGAGATTATTTCAGCAACCAAACAAAACATAAAGGATCAGAACCTTCATGAAGTGTCTTATATACAAGCAATTCCTTTTCCTTTCCATCTTCTATATACTTCTCTCAGAAACCAAACAACAAAAAGCATCAAATTTAAAAAGAAAAAACTAGTAAAAATTTACCTCAACAATGTTGCCGACTAAATAAGGAAGCTGCTTGTTCAGTTTGATCTTCTCTTGATTCTCCTTTATTTTTTCCTTAAACGAGTCCAATTCTAAATTCGTTCTCTGCAACTCTTCCTGTTCATATCCATCACACGCAAAAGAAATTAAAAATACCAGTGACTAAACAAAGATATAAATATATGCATATATACAGAACGAGACAGAGAGATCTGAACCTTGAGGATTCGAATTTCGTTATCAAGAAGCCGAGATGCCCTAACGATATCGTCAGTGGACATCGAAGCAAGCTGGTCGTCTTCAAAGTTGCTGTCTTCTACCATCGCCGATGCCATCTCCGATCGATGAGAAAGAAAATCTGCTAAGAGAGGTAGAGAGAGCAGATCTGTTCTTTATTTCTAGTCGGTAATCCTTTCTCTGTTCTTCAAGGCAAAAGAAAAAGAGGGGCTCAAAAAACAAAAACTTATTGCTCTTCAGCTTTGCAGCAAGCGATAGAGAGATTAACCCATTTATGGGCTAGATACCAAAATAGGCCCATTTTTTGTTGAGCTCCTACGGTGGACTAGTCATTATACTTTACGTGCAAATTATTTTTTGTGGACAAATTATAGCTCTGACAACGTAATGCCACTACTGATTTAAGAGGTAACACGTGCCTAGGCACCGTATAACATAAAATTCGATTATAAAAAAAATTAATTTTATTATATTAAATAATAATTTTTTTTCAATATTTTTAATTAAATAGTTTAAAATTAATTTCTATCCATTATTTTTTTTAAAAATGATAAATTTCTCTTAAAATACTTGATTTTGAAAAAGTATGAATATTAATGAGTCCAAATCCAATTGGGCTTAGGCCCAATCCATGGGTTAAGCCCAAATCATCTAGGCTTAGTTCATGGCCTTAATTCAGTCCAAAACTCAGGAGTTCATGAAAGGTCAACGCTCATGGGAGAACAATCATCGGGATATTCATTGTTCCAAGATAGTGTCTATCCCCAATCATGGCTATCCCCACAATAGATTAGTAGTTTTGTCTTCACGTCACTGTCTCAGCTAGAGTTTTGTGCTTATAAATTGTAAATCTCTTATACACGGGACATACACTATACCTTGAGCGTACTCTTGTTTTTTTTTTCTCTCTCCCCCTATTACTTTGTACTCTCCTATTAATAGAATTATCCGGCCACCATTGCCACTTTTAGTGGTTAGGTCACCCAAACCCAACTACTCAATTTTTATCTCTTATTATTAATTGTTTCATTAATTGTTTTACACCACGCACTTGACTAATTTGATTGTGCATAATCGATTTTGTGCATCATCAGTTTGACATAGTCTGTGGATAAAAATAAGTTTTCTGCTACCATCTATCTATCCCTACTCTCTCCATGACTATCAAAACTAGGTCAATGAATCAGCAAGCTGAGGATAATGATCTAGTGTGTAGGGCGAAGGTTCCACCTCCACCTACAGAACCCATCATAACGACAAATCCAGTGGTAGGGCAACAACTTCTAGAGACAATACAGTTATTGGTGAACCAAAATCAGCAAATTCTCCAATTGATACTCGATGTAGAAGGAGTCGTGCCCTAGCCCGCAAGAGGGGAAGCACCACAACTAGTCCCCCCAGGGCACCCCCCAGCACCAGGGAGTCCTTCCTCAGTGCCCAGGTGCCCCAACTACCCTTCCTTATGCCCAACTCCGTCATCACATGCTGGCGACCTTCCTATGCTGGAGGATAAGGGTGGAAAACTAGTACGTGGATCACGAAAATTATTATAACGATCCGATAGAAGGTGTCCCCAACCAATGAGACGAAAAATTAAGGAGGTATAGAATCATTTAGGTGACGTCATTAACGCCATCAAGACATGGGTACGGAAAATAGTAGGCTATCTGGTAAGGCGCACTAACATTCCATTCATGGCTGATGTGGTCAACTACCTCTTACCCTTGAAGTTCAAAACGTCCACTGTGAAAACTTTTGACAGTTCGAAAGATCCACTTGACCACCTCGACAAGTACAAATCCCTAATACAATTCCATAATGTACTAGAAGAAGTAATGTGTATAGCCTTCCCTACCACCCTCTAGTGATTTGCACACTAGTGATTTGCCAAACTTAAACCATCTTTAATCAATTCTTTTGCTAAACTAAGCAAATCCTTCGTCTCCCACTTCATAGGGGGACGCCAATATCAGAAGTCAGTCACCCACTTGCTCACCATCAAACAGGATTGGGATAAAAATCTAAGGATCTACCTCACTCAATTTTGAGGAGGCCCTCCTGATCAAAGAGCCAAATGATAAGGTCACCATGACCACCTTTTTATAGTATGTTTGTGCTCATCTAACTTTATTTTTTCAATTTTGAAAAAAATCACTAGCAAGCATGCCCGAGTTATTATCTAGAGCCCATAAATATATGAATGTTTGAGGATGTCACCAAGTCTAGGCGCGATGAGTCCTCCCATGGAGGNTTTTTTTTTTCTCTCTCCCCCTATTACTTTGTACTCTCCTATTAATAGAATTATCCGGCCACCATTGCCACTTTTAGTGGTTAGGTCACCCAAACCCAACTACTCAATTTTTATCTCTTATTATTAATTGTTTCATTAATTGTTTTACACCACGCACTTGACTAATTTGATTGTGCATAATCGATTTTGTGCATCATCAGTTTGACATAGTCTGTGGATAAAAATAAGTTTTCTGCTACCATCTATCTATCCCTACTCTCTCCATGACTATCAAAACTAGGTCAATGAATCAGCAAGCTGAGGATAATGATCTAGTGTGTAGGGCGAAGGTTCCACCTCCACCTACAGAACCCATCATAACGACAAATCCAGTGGTAGGGCAACAACTTCTAGAGACAATACAGTTATTGGTGAACCAAAATCAGCAAATTCTCCAATTGATACTCGATGTAGAAGGAGTCGTGCCCTAGCCCGCAAGAGGGGAAGCACCACAACTAGTCCCCCCAGGGCACCCCCCAGCACCAGGGAGTCCTTCCTCAGTGCCCAGGTGCCCCAACTACCCTTCCTTATGCCCAACTCCGTCATCACATGCTGGCGACCTTCCTATGCTGGAGGATAAGGGTGGAAAACTAGTACGTGGATCACGAAAATTATTATAACGATCCGATAGAAGGTGTCCCCAACCAATGAGACGAAAAATTAAGGAGGTATAGAATCATTTAGGTGACGTCATTAACGCCATCAAGACATGGGTACGGAAAATAGTAGGCTATCTGGTAAGGCGCACTAACATTCCATTCATGGCTGATGTGGTCAACTACCTCTTACCCTTGAAGTTCAAAACGTCCACTGTGAAAACTTTTGACAGTTCGAAAGATCCACTTGACCACCTCGACAAGTACAAATCCCTAATACAATTCCATAATGTACTAGAAGAAGTAATGTGTATAGCCTTCCCTACCACCCTCTAGTGATTTGCACACTAGTGATTTGCCAAACTTAAACCATCTTTAATCAATTCTTTTGCTAAACTAAGCAAATCCTTCGTCTCCCACTTCATAGGGGGACGCCAATATCAGAAGTCAGTCACCCACTTGCTCACCATCAAACAGGATTGGGATAAAAATCTAAGGATCTACCTCACTCAATTTTGAGGAGGCCCTCCTGATCAAAGAGCCAAATGATAAGGTCACCATGACCACCTTTTTATAGTATGTTTGTGCTCATCTAACTTTATTTTTTCAATTTTGAAAAAAATCACTAGCAAGCATGCCCGAGTTATTATCTAGAGCCCATAAATATATGAATGTTTGAGGATGTCACCAAGTCTAGGCGCGATGAGTCCTCCCATGGAGGAAAAAAGAGGAAAAAGTCCCGCAAAGACAGGAAAGAATTATAAAATAAGAAAAAGAGGACACAGAGAGTATTAGTCAAGGAATGCCTCAGTCTTGCACCTTTAAGAGAACGACAAGCCTTTCACACCGCTCAATGCTTCACTCGAGCATTTCTTGCTCCAAATCTAGGATGATCCTAAGATATGCTAGCTAGAGAAAATGAAGTTCGCCCCAAATCATGGGAACCCGAACAATACTGTCGGTTCTACTATGATCATGGCTATGACACCGATGACTACTTTGAGCTCAGAAGGTAGATTGAGGACCTCATACAATGTGACCAGTTGCGACAGTACATAGTCGGCAGAAGACAAGCCCCACCAACTGGTCGTAACCAAGATGATAGAGAGTACCAACAACCCCTCAGAGAAATCTAGATGATCTCCGGAAGGTTAAGAGGATGGGTGACTCCAACTCAGTTAGGAAGGCACATACCAAGAGAGCTAAATATGTGGAATCTGATGACCCTCGCGCTACAGAGACACACAGGCAGAGGGAAGGAGAGGTCATCTCTTTCTAAGACAGAGATCTCAAGGGGAACTAGCACTCCCATAACGATCCTCTGGTGTTGACCATCATGGTAGCCAACTACCAAGTTAAGAGAATCCTAGTAGACAATGGCAACTTTGCCGATATCTTATTCGCCCCCTCCTATGATAGCCTTCATCTTGGAAAGGAGATATTGCAACCTATTAGGATGCCCCTTATTGGATTTTCAGGGGAAAAATGCATATCCTTTAGGTTCCATCGCCCTACCAGTCACAGTGGGAACAACATCAAGAAGCTCCACCATCATGGTGAACTTTATAGCGTTGGATTGCTCTTCTACCTATAACATCATCCTTGGATACCCTACACTCAATACCTTAAGGACAGTGTCATCCACCTTTCACCTCGTTCTTAATTTTTCCAACTCCATGTAGGATTGGAGAAATCAGGGGAGACCAAGTTGTTGCTAGGGAATTCTATATGGCCTCTATGAGGTTCAAAAAATCTCAAGAGACCCTACAAGTGGAAATACTCCACCCTAGGGATGACAACACATTGAAAAGAGGAAAACCAACAAAAGAACTCGAATCAGTAGTGCTAGATGAGAACTTTCTAGATAGAAGAATCAATATTGGTTCCTCGCTTCCCTGAGATCGAGCTACCCACCTCTTTGATTTCCTTAAGCAGAACATGGACATTTTCGCCTGGTCCTATGAGGAGGTCGCCACCCATTGGCTTAATGTGGATCCTAAACACAAGCTCGTCCGCCAAAAGTTGAGAAATATTGGTACTGATGAGGGAAAACTGCTAGAAAATGGGCCAATGAGGGAAATAACTTACCTAGTTTGGCTATCAAACATCATGATGGTAATAAAGGCTAACGGGAAATGGTAAATTTGCATGGACTTCACTAAACTCAACAAAATTTGTGCCAAAGACATCTATCCCTTGTTACGCATCGACG